GTCCCCGCCCGGCCCCGAGTCGCTTCGGGACCTGAGAGGCTGGAAGGGAGGAAGGAGTTTAGAGGAGAAAAGGAAGCTTTTCGACGACGACTTCCTCTTGAGTAGTGGCATACTTGGGTCTTCAGCACCTTGGTCGGTCGGTCTCTCTCTCTGTCTCTGTCTCTCTCTTTCTCTTTATTTCTAGAGTAGGGACGGGACATTTATTTCTTGGTTTCTGAGCGGGAAACCGCCCCACCCCATCCCTCTCCTCGGGAGGTGGGGCGCACTGCGTGGGGGCGGCCGGTCGGAAGTGAAAAGTTACAGGCTTTCGGTTGGGGCGTCCTAGACCAGGATTTTCGCCGAGACTGAAGCGCATTAACACCAGTGGAAAAATTTAGCTACAGAGAATATACGAATTTTTGAGATGGATCCTTTGACATTAGCTCAAACCCACTTATTCTCTACATTTCGAATGTGTACAGTTGGCTTTTTTTTTTCTTCATTGTCATAAGTGCAATGATGTTTGGAGGGACTGTTTACCCTGTAAAATATGTTTTGTCGCCTTGACGCTATAATTAACATTATAGCACATTTTTATTGTTTGACATTTATGTGTGGGTTGCCCCTTTCATGCAAACATTTCTTAGTGAAAGGATGAACTGTATTTGCCAAACTAAAAACTTTAAAGTTTGGGGTGTATGTATGAAAGTGTTTGCTTTCTCTCTTGCAGTTTAAGTTTATTTCCCTTGTTTGAAAAGTAGAACAACTCTGGGGATCCAGTTTTTCTAGAAATAAGAAAGAGAATTCCATGTTGAAATGACTTTGATTTTGCAAAAATATTCATATGTAGTACACACATTTAGTCGATGCATGTTGAAAAACATCAGAAAGTCACATCCAATACCATGTAACATGTAACTCGTAGTTTCCTTGAAATTCTTATTGCTATTTTTTGTTTTGTTTTAGGACGAAATGGAGTGTCAGTGGGACTATAATATAGTTTTGCCAGAACAATTTATTTTTTTTTAAAAAAAATATCTTTTATTGATTTTTCACAGAGAGGAAGGGAGAGAGATAGAGAGTTAGAAACATCGATGAGAGAGAAACATCAATCAGCTGCCTCCTGCACATCTCCTACTGGGGATGCGCCCGCAACCCAGGTACATGCCCTTGACCGGAATCGAACCTGGGACCTTTCAGTCCGCAGGCCGTCGCTCTGTCCACTGAGCCAAACCGGTTTCGGCCAGAACAACTTATTTATTTTTAAACCTTTTAAAAGACTAATTGGTGTGTAGGTTTGACTATAACACAGTTTTAGGTGAGCAAATTGTCTTTAATCTCCCACAATTCTTTAATTTGAAAATTCAAGCTGAAAATTTGAGTGAAGAGTACAAGGAGCACTTATAAACCCTTTACATAGAGTTAATATTTTGCTATATTTGTTATCTCGCTCCCCATACTTACAAGAGTTAAAAGTAAGTTGCAGACATAATAGTTCATTCCTAAATGCTTCAGCAAGCATCTCCTAAGAATAAGGCCATTGTTCTATAAAACCATAATACCATTATCAATTATCAATCATTACCTAATATTGTCTAATACCCAGTTCATATGCAGTTTCTCCCAATTGGTAGGGGTAGCACTTTAAAAAAAAAATCAAACTTTAGGGTCACATGTAGTTTTAGCAAATAATACGTTGAGATGCCTTGTACCCATTACCTCATTTCCCTAATGCTAATGCCTTGTAAAACTGTAGTTCAGTATCATAACACTTATACAACCTACCACTTATTCATATTTTTCTATTTTACTTGTACTGATTTGTGTATTTAGTTCTGTGCAATCTTATCACGTGTAGATTATATAACTATCACAACAGTCAATATACAGAACAGTTCCATTAGAATCACACCTCCTTCCCTCCTATCCTCTCTACCCCCCAAAATCTGGCAACCACTACTAATCTTTCTATAGTTTCGGCATTTCAAGAATGTTTACTAAAAAGTACTGTACATAACTTTTAGGATTGGCCCATTTTATGCAACATAAAAGATTCATCCAAGTTGTTGGGTGTATCAATAGTTGTTCCTTGTTATTGCTGACAAATTCTGTGATATGGATGTACCACAGTTTAATTATTCCATAGGATAACAGTTTTTGATTAAGCATCAAACAGTTTTTTGTTTGTTTTTTTTTAAAAATATGTTTTATTGTTTTTTTACAGAGAGCAAGGGAGAGAGAGATAGAAACATCGATGAGAGAGAAACATCGATCAGCTGCCTCCTGCACATCTCCCACTGGGGATGTGCCCGCAACCCAGGTACATGCCCTTGACCGGAATCGAACCTGGGACCCTTCAGTCCGCAGGCCAACGCTCTATCCACTGAGCCAAACCGGTTTCGGCAGTTTTTTTTTTGGTGGTGATAGTGGAGTGAACATTTAAGTTCATTGCTAAAGTTAAAGTGCTAAAGGATTTATTGGGATAGGTACATGCAGAAGAAAATTGAAAATCACTAACTGAAAGAAAAGGGGATATAATGTCCTTATTCTCTTACACTGGAATAATGAAAATATTACTAACCAAAAGTATAATTAGTATTTGTTTTTTCAAAATTGTTTCTGCTTCCTCAGTTGTAGTTAGCTCTTTTGACTGTAAGTTTTTCCCCCAAGTAAGATAAAGGAAAAGTTGGGCATACTCTAATGCCTTGTAATCAAGTGGTGCTTAGGTTAGTAACTTAAATCATTCCAGTGGCATTCAACTTTTGAGCTACTACTTTCTTAGTTGTACCATACTTATTTGTAGTAAAGTGTGTAGGAAATGAAATTAATTTGTGTTTTACAATTTCAAAATAATAAATTATGTGTTTGCCTTAATTTGTCAAAGGAAACCTGGTTTACACATCAGTTTACAAAAAATTTCAGTTTTTTTGTAGTGGATTTGCCTGGCTTGTTCTAGCCGACTTGATATCTAAAATTTAATTTTGTTGCATATTTGGTCCATCTTTTTTCCCACATTACTGTTTTCTGACTATAAAACATTGTCATAAATTGGTCATAATTTCTGCAAAAAGTGTCTTGTATATAATTTGTCTAATGAAAGGGTGGGAATATGAGTTTAACGTGCCATATATTATGTAGGAGTTTAGTTTAAAGAAGAGATACTTGTTTTTGCCAGAAGTGTTTTTTGTTGTTGTAATTACACTCTATTGTAACAATGTGAAAAACTAAGTCATTAAAAAATGATGGCTTTGCATACTCCTGATGCTATTTTTCACGACTTTCTTAGGATATAGGTGAATGGTAAGAGAAATGAGGTTGCCAGGGTAAAACAAAATCCACACTTTTGTAGATTTAGCCCACTTGGAAGAGTTGGACATACTCTGTTGCCTTGCAGTCAAGTGTTGCTAGGTTGGTGACTGTTGCTGCTTTCTTCTCTCTTCTCTCTATGTTAATGTGAGTTGTAAGAAAAAACATCTAACTTAGGAGTACTTAAAATATTGTACATCATTAATCTATTTTTGGATTTTTGCCTGAATGATTTATGGTGTTAGTTAAAAGTCTGAAGGACAGAATTTTTCTTCCTATAAAAGTGGTTAGAGAAGTTAAGTTAGCATAGTGATAATATTTGTGATTTACTGAAAACGTACAATTTGTACTATAGAATACAACTTTCTGTGGAGATGGAAATGCTAGACATAGAACCATTAGCTACATGTGGCTGTTGTACACTTGAAATAGGGCTAATGGGATTGAGGAACTGAATTTTTAATTTTCAAGTTTTTTTTGTTTGTTTTAAAATATATTTTATTGATTTTTTACAGAGAGGAAGGGAGAGGGATAGAGAGTTAGAAACATCGATGAGAGAGAAACATCAATCAGCTGCCTCCTGCACTCCCACCGGGGATGTGCCCGCAACCAAGGTACATGCCCTTGACTGGAATCGAACCTGGGACCCTTCAGTCCGCAGGCCGATGCTCTATCTACTGAGCAAAACCGGTCAGGGCATGAATTTTTAATTTTAATGAATTTAAATTCAAATAGCCACATGTGAAGGGTTATCATTTTGGACAGTTAAAAGACAGTACCAACAGAAGTAGACATTGTGCCCTGTACGATTGCAGGGCTGGAAAGCTACTGGCCAACTGGCTTTAACTGAAGGGATTTCTTTGCTTAGTCTGCATTCTTATTCCTTTTAATAATTCTTCTGATAATGTAGTTCTTTCAGAGCATTGACTTAAAATATATCTTCTTTGTTCATAAAAGTGTTTTTGGACATAAAAGACTAGGTCATATAAGGGATCACACGTGAAGGGCTGTTTGTTCAAAATTTTCTCTCCTCAAAATTTGCATGGCTCATTTTTTCTCTTATTTCTTTTGGAATTCTGCTCAGATGTCATCTAAATGTTATATAGAGGCCTTCCTTGACCAGGAGAAGTCCTCCTCAGTCAACCTTCTTATTTTCTTCCTTGCTTTTTTTTTTCCATATCACCATCTGACAAGTTATTTATCACATGCCTTGCACAATTAAAATGTA